AGATCGTGGTAATGAAGCCAAATGACACATGATGTTGAAAAATGTGGTTTCTTCGATTGACCTATGAAACCTTGGACTGGTTCATCAGAATATGTTACCTGAACTTTAGTGTTATATAGACATTTTCTCATATAAACTGATCAATGCCTTTGGTCTTTAATCCTGTTCAACTTTTCTTTGATAATGATTAGTAAATTTTATTATTTTTTCCAGGTGCTTTTATTAGAAGATCCCGATTCTATACTATATTTCTTTATCTGTTTTACTTTAGTATTTTCTTTCATAGTTTAATAGTATTACTATTCTCAATTTTAGTGCATTTTATATGTTAAATTTCACTACTTACTCTTGTCGTCTGATAGCAGATGATGATGTAGGATGGCCGAATTATGAGGGAAATGACCATCCTAACTATGACTGTAACTGAGTCAGGAAATACAAAAAGCGCCAACTGGATGAGCAGATGAGCAAGCTGACGAGGCATTAATGATGACAAATGTTAACGGAAATGATGTTGTGCTAAGTTACGATGATCCGTAAACTGTTATTTTTTCTTCTCTTAGCACTTTTTATTTATGTAAATAAATCGTACTTTATAATAACTCGATGAGTTTTAGTTATAATTGTTAGCGATGAGTTTTAGTGATGTTTATTAGTGATGGTTTTCCTGTAGATATATCTATATTTAAATCTATATCTATATCTATATATCTATCTGTCTGTCTATCTATATATATATATATAATTTTGTTTAATATTAGTAAAAGACATTTTCACATAAAGAAAAATTAGTGTAAGAGTATCCGTTTCGTTCTTCTTCTGAAATTTCAGGCGATGCAATGAGGTGATGCAGTAATGTAATCAGGCGATACAACGTTAATCAAAGGAAACAGGACTTGTCTTTTCACCAGTGATGCCGCTGAACATGTATCCAATGAGAAGCTTCCAAACATAAATGGGCTTCATTTCCAAAGGCACAACTATCCATCCGTGGCTTGAGTTTCATGATGGCACCGACGGGAGTACACAAAAATAACTCGCAATCGATGTCAGTTAATGTATGATTGCAATAATGGTAATAAGCCAGCCGTTAACATGTATCCAGAATTGTGGATCTTTGTAGTCCTCGAATACAAGTGGCAAATACAGTGTTTGCAATGAAACTGAAATGCTTGAGGTGTATTGCCCTCGAAATTTTAAGATAGCGTAGGCACTTCTAGTTGGGAACTCTAGAGCTTTATTAGCATCTGCAAAGTCAGAAGTCTGAATCCGTAGTGATGTTAGAGGTACTTAACCTTTTATTGAGAATTACAGGGCAAAATGATGAATATATCGGAATTCAAAAGAGAATAAATTCTTGGTTCTTATATGGCAGAGTTATCGGCTGTCAAGACAGCAAGTCTTTTTAATGTATTGGAAAGCTACAATATCTAGTGCAATATCTATATGCCTAAAAAAGCGAAAAACTTTGTCCAGTCGCAATAGTTGGTGAAGTAAGAGAATTGTTAAAAATCCTTAAATTATTACTAAAAATAAAACAGGGATTGTTTAAATTAAAGCAAAATTTAACATTCTCGTGAACGCATTGATTTTTACACAACTTGCTTGTCGGGAGCTGATAGGGCTAATATTCATGCTAAGACAGCTACAGCAAAGTCACTGGGGATTACTAGCCGTGCTAAATACGAATTTCGTTGTAGCAACTTAGTGTACGATGAAACGCGTGCATTTTTTAGCGATGAATCCATCTTCACCGCCTTTCCCACCCCTGGGCAAGTTTGTGGACAGCTCTTTCAAAGGAACGCGATCCGGATTATCTCATGATATGAGTGAAGCCTGAAAGTGACCCGATGATGGTTTGGATCATATTGTCGTGGTAGCTTTAGGAAATATTGATTATTTTTGACAGTCACACTATTGTCAAAGATTATAAATAGTCCAAATCCACCGAAATGTTCAAACAGTTTATACCGAAAGACACGCTGTGTTTCAATGTAGTTAACCCATCAACTTGCACCACCAAACGGATGAGAAAAAAGGATTTGAAGAGCAAGAAAATAAGCTTGATTACTTTCTTGCATAATCCATTGACTTCGACTCGAGCCTGCCTGGTTATGAACAGGATTGGATGCCCTTTCTCTCCAGCATCATGAAGTGAAGTAGATATATTTTAAAAGATGAATGGCTAAAAATATCTTATAATGCTTGAATAAGACTTGTATTAATAATTTTCAAAATATAGCGCTGCAGTATTAGTCTCCATCATATTAATTATTAAATATAATCGGACCCTCGTACTGGAGGTTTCGTTTATTCGCGATCGCGATTCACATCGCGATAGATAAGTTCTATGTAATTTTTAAATGTAGGCCAGTTGATGACCAACCTACGACCAAATGTGAAACACAAACTCAGAAACAATCTAAGCACTGCATTCCAATAATAATCAAGATTAAATACGTTTTCTTAACGGATTTAACTTAATGGGAACAACATTGTCCTGCCGCTCTCGTACTCATAAATTTCTTATTTGCGATGCAGTAGCTTCCAGTGGTAAGTGCTAACAAAGCTTCTAAAACTTAACAGTAACTGTGATGTCTTATCCATTGATGAGAAAGCAAACATTTTTGGAGAGTATATTTTGCATTATTGTATTTATAATGTAGTTTATGGTGTGTATATTTAATATGTAACTTGATTTCGCACTAAGTGAATTTAAGATCATACCACATTTAATATTGATTATGTTTATTGTGCTTGGATGTATCAAACTTTACCACATTTATCTATGTTACATGAACCAAGGTATGTCCTGGAACGAATCACCCACAGATATGAGGGTATTACTATTTTTACACTAGATGCTAGGTCATTGGCGATTTCAAATAAGAAGCGCGATTAAGACCAGCCTATAATAAAATATAACGCGCTCTGGCGAAACATTACTTCTATTGCTTTCTGAACTTTTACCTCTTGAACGTGTGATCTCAAGGATATCTTAAAGATTAATATAAATTGAATACATCCAATGATAACGCGTTCTGCAATTTCCATATTTGTAGCATTCTTCCCGTAAACAAAGAATTTCAATTTCATTGGCATATTTTACTTTAAAATATATTTTAAATTTCAGATTTTTCAGATTTAAACACTGGAGAAGTATGTCGTATGTATTATGGACATACTTTTAAGGTGATTCGAAGCACTTGATGATTTCTGTTTTATTAAACTGATGCTTTTTTTAGAAATATTTTAAAATTAATTCTTTTCTATTCGGTGTCTTACTTCGAGTTTAAGCATATATTTATTTGCTTAAATAAGGTTTATTGACTGTGCTCTAAATAAATGCATTATCAGCTCTTAGTGATACTAATATATAAAGCGTTAAAATGTCTTATATCACATTTTTATAACTTTATTTACTCACAAAAGAGTATACTGAAATATCAGCTCTTTCTTACAAAACATATTATATACTCTGTCATAGGTATATTCAATTCAGTCTTTGTAGAAGTAACATAATAACTGTAATGTGGAACACGATTTAAGAAGCCACATCCTTATTTTAATGTAAGTATCCTTTCTTAAACCTCAAATTTTTACATTTTTCTAAATTTCGTAAAATAGAGTATTAGAACTTTAGAACTTGTTCATTCTATTTCATCTGAGTTTTGATTATTTTTTCTTAGAATAAAGAAATGTCACAAAGAAATATGTCTAGGTATTCAAGTGTTAAATTTAGAATTTACGTTTCTATGGAGTTTCAACGAATGAAATGGAAGCTCCATTGTGAACATTATTCTGTAAAAACTTGGTATGCGTTTCTGAAGACACAGACAAAAATATTTTGTAATATTTTACTATAGAGTTATAATATTAATTATAGAGTATTTTATTTTTTCCCATTCTAGTTTTTCTAATTTAAAATTAAAAAGTTCAATAGATTATTGAAAACGGTAGTATTTTCTTTCTTTTTCCAATAAATATTCTAATATAAAGTATGAAATTTTATTGACTGGTTTGTAAAGTCTCTAAACAGTCGACAGCATTATCATCATATGTAAACATAAAAGGCTATTCAATGAGAAAAGGAACGCACCTTTAATGAAAAATGACCAGTTTAAGATTCTAATAATGTAAATGCGATTCAATTACGAACAACTCTGAAGAAGCAAAACTTTACTTTTCGAAATGTAATAAATTTGTCATTGTAACTGTTGACTCCTTAAATGCAAATGACTTGAAAGACTCGACATAAATATTTTTACATGATGATAAATACCATAACAAAATAAAACTAAAACTATTTTAGAGCCTGTTATACTTATCTTACATTATTGCTATAATATATATACTCAAATTTAATAAAACTGATAAATTGTAATACATAAGAAAAGTTTAAAACTCTTCGTGTGTTTTACAATATTTAGAAACGAAATTTTATACATCCGCCTTCTTAGCGTGCCTTTGTAGTGTGGTGGTCTGCGCACTGGCCGTGTATTCCAGAGGTCCGTGGTTCGATTCCTGGAAAAGGCGTTGCATATTTTTCATCTCTCCTGCTTCCAAAATACCTAATGACTCTACAAGTGGCGCCCGAACTAAAAGGGTGATGGATGATGACTCTCCACACCCAGGATTTGACGATTGGGTCCCCTAAAAACCTCAGTCGCCCTTTAAAAGGGGGAGTATATAAGCTATTTCGACCGCCTTCTTAGCGTACCTTCGTGGTGTGGTGGTCTGCACGCTAGGCGCGTATCCCAAAGATAGATCCGTGATTCAATTTCCGAAGGCGTTGCATATTGTATCTTCTTCTGCTTCCAAAATACCTAATGACTCTACAAGTTTCCTCAAATAAGAAGTTACCTGTTTTATGAAACGAGGTTTCATAAGGCAAAATTTAGAAAATGTTGTAGTATGCATATTAAAAATACGAGGGCTTCTAGGCATTATTAGTCAAATTATCTTCAATTTTAGAAATATAAAGGAAAAATAAATATCTCTTACAGTGAATAAAAAACTAGTTTATTTCAAGCAGTGTATTACAATATGAAATTATTTACATCTTTGCTTTACACTTGTTCATACTACTGTTCATTTTTTGTACATAGTGTTTCGTCTCCAATTCAATTTCATCAGCAAAGTTCTGTAATATATAATACACAGTTAAAATCTGTTATATAAATCTGTTCAGAATCCTGAATAGATTGTTTCAGTTTTGAGGAAGTTTTGATTCATCACAGATATTTTTCAGTAAGAAACAGTTACTTTAGTAGGATCTTTTCTTCTTAAAATTTGCTGTTTCAACATCTGTATTTCTTATAAACACTGTACAAATATTTTGCTAAAACATCAACAATAAACTCGATGATTTCGACAAATGTTATTAAAGACAAACCTAAGAATAGACCTAAGTTGCCACCTATGTTCGCGACTAAGAATTCCCACTGAAAGAACAAATTTACATACTTTATTAATTTGAAATAATCAACAATATTGCATTAAAAATTTAGCTATTTGTAATACGTAATCGGTCTCAAATATTTGTTTAGGAGATTTATGAATAGGCTTTAGATTTTAAAATTTGCTAGTATATTTAAATCAAACAAAATTAAAAAATAATAACTAAGACGGTTATTAATTTTTTTTGTCTTTAAGCAATGATAGAGTCTGAACTAAAAACATTCAATAACATTTCATTAACATTAGTCTCAATTTGCAAAGACAATTACGTAGCCTTCGCTCCGCCCAGACTTGCTTTATATAGAAAATACAAGAAAGCTAGATACCTGCCTCTCATCCATAAAACAAACATTTATATCAAATGAAATACTGATTTGTGTACTGGATAACTTCAAAGTAACTGCACTGAATATATATGTGCTTATATTAGTATATTGAATGGCTGTGATTTAGAAGAACTTTCCCGCTGCAAATCTGACTTGTCGAAAGCCAGAACTCAGTATCTTGTATATCTATTAACATGAAATTTTATCTTTCATATTTTATTTATTTAGTTATTTAGATTGTAAAATTTATTTAGTTATTGGAATTACTACTAAAACGTATAAAAAAGAAACATGATTACATTTAAAATATTCCTTCTAAAAATTTTTCAGTCATTTTTACTTAAATTAAGCATATGTTTTTAAAACGAAATATCTAATATTTTCGAATACAGAGTACTTTTGATTATTCGAGGAAGCAAGTCACGAATAAATTAAAACACAGATAATTCAAACTATGAATTCTCGCGCATATTGTTTGTGTCTATTTCTTAAATAAACCAGTCATTTTACTTTGTTTTTGCCAATTTAAACGTTTAAATATTTGTTGAATTTCACAGCTATTTTTAGAAATGCTGTTTTCTTTGGTCGATGAAGTCCAATAGCGTTTAAGGATAAATCCTTTTTATCTCAGGACTAAGGTGTGGTGTGGTGTATTTAATTATGGCAAAGCATACTAGGGCTATCTGCCTAAGGGAAGAGATGCCTTTCGTGGAGGACTTTCTGGGGGAAACTGGCTCGTATACACGTTACACATGGGGAAAACCACGAAAACGCCCATGCAGCCAGCCCGTTCGCGGGATTCGAACCTCGGACCGAACTACCAGTGTTCAGCGTATTTACCGCTCGGTCGCTGGTGGGCATCTCAGGACTAAGATATTAATCAGTATCTTCTTCGCTTATATTTTCAGTCGCCCGGTACAGTCGAATCGCTATCGAACCATTTTTCGATGTTTTCCTTCCCCCCTTTTTTTTTTTAGTCCAAAGGGGCTTTGTCCTTGAAGGACTATTGTTTTCGTTTTGCGATTTTGCGTTCAATTACTATAAACGACGAATCACTTTTCAAACTGTAGCCACCAAATGCTAGAGTCCTGCATTGTATTTGAAAAAAATTAAATAATGAAAAACAATAATATTTTTCCTGGAAACTTTTACTTTTTAAAAAATCCTTCACTGCAAGAACCCTTTTAGTCTTGAATCAGTCTTCGAATATCTCTCTGTTCATCGTTATCCCTTTTTGATTGTTATAATCTACACTCCCGGTTATACCGTTGCGTAGGCAGACCGCGCTCTGGTTAAAAGTGACCTCTGCTTAGTGAAGGATCGAATCAGTAACTGATTTTTGAATTTATTTATTTTGTATAACTTACTCTTTTAAGAAGGTGTTAAATTTTATGTGTGAGGACTAATTAAGGTTTTGATTTGAATTATGTTTGCTTACTGGTTATTGCAGGATATTAATTCTCTAATTTAATTTAAGAATTGAATTTAAGGTTAGGTAAATTGTTTTGGTATAATATTAACTCAAAAGATAGTGTTTTAGTAGGTGTGATTCGATGATTTCATACTGTGCATGTTAGGTTGTTACTAGTACAAAAGTATTAGGTTTTAAGAAGGTTTGTGAATTTCAAATTTTGAGGCTTTCGAAATACTCAGTATGTTTTTTAGATGTAATGATCGATACTTATGTTTTCTGTAAAAGTACCGGAGTTGTCAATGAGTGGAGGTTTTTTTTTAAGTTTTGCGCGTAACTGGCAGCTGATTAAATTAGCTTGACAATTTGGAAACTTGTTTGAATGATTCAAAACTATTAGAGGGCGATATGTCGAAGAAAACGCGCCGTTCTGCTAGACAGCCTGACCCATCAGTAGAGATGTTGGAAGAGACAGCCCCGGGCGTAAGTGGTACTTCAGTTTTTGGCTTGGACCCACTGGAGTCAGTTCCTATTTTTACGGCGAGGAGAAAATAGCATTAGCCTAGCTGATTTTTTAGATAGACTCGAACTGATAGCATCACATGTAGGATGGACGGAGTCAGATAAAGTTACGGTAATTCGGGTTAAACTTGGGGGGGGGGAAGCCGCGGAATTTGTTAGGAATAATCCGCGTTTGAGGAGCGAAGCTGGCTTTTCCTACCTGGTAGGTGCCTTGAAGGACAGGTTTACAACAGTTCAAAGTCTACATTCCCATATTCGCTCCCTTATACAGGCATTTCAAAAGCCGCGGGAGTCAGTCAGACAATTCGCTGCGCGTATCGAGGCTTTATCTTATAAAACAGTGCCAGTAGAAAGGATGGGCGATCCGGCAGCAGAGACTCAGAGACAGGAATTGCTATTATCTGTTTTTCTAGAAGGATTGCACTTGCACCTTAGACGTCTGCTCTTGCCCCATAATCATAAATCATTTGTAGCAGCGAAAAACCACGCAGTTTTGGAGGAGGAGATGTGGATAAAAAACCATGCTGAGACAGATTTTCAGTCAGCTGGAAGTTAAGGCGGTCCATACTACGGGTACGGTAAATTCCAAGGACACTCTTTGGCGTTTCAGGGTGAAAATGTAGAGCTTGTAGAGGCTATTAGATTGCAACAACAGAACTTAACCCAGTTGACACAGATGATGAATACTTTGCAGAGCCAAATGCAATCTTTGATGGTGCATAATCCTCGGTCGAGATCCTTACAGCCTAGATGTTTCCGTTGTAACCGGGTAGGACACATAAGCAGAAATTGTTATGTAAATGGCAGGTCTAATAACGAGCAGGGCAGATCAGATCACAGATTTCGACAAAGAGAGGCAGGAACGGCGAATACACTTAATTCTCATATGGCACCCGAACATTTGGCGGTAGCATCTCAGGATCGAGGTGCAACTGGTAGCAAATTGAATCACCAAGCTCAGACATTTAATTTAAACTAGAAAAGGGTGGGGAGAAACACGCTTCCATTTCTTCCTCGAATGCCCTTTTGGAGGTGCCATCCGTCTTTGTAGTCACTACAGGAGAGTCTTCATTACCAATAGTAGAGGGTTCTATATTACAGACAGAAATTAAATTTTTGATAGATTCGGGGGGCAACGGTTAATATTATAGAGGAAAAAATTATTGCAGGGTTAGGGGATAAAGTTTCATTTTTTCTCCTTGTAAACTTTATTTAAAAGGAATTTCTAATCAGAATGTTCTAATCACACGAAAAGTTTCCCTTCCCGTAGTATTGCAAGGCAGGATTTTTCCTGTTGAATTTCTCATTAAGGACAAGGATTTTTCTTTGCACTATGGTGCCATTTTAGGAACACAGTTTTACTTGATAATGCACTCATTCTGGATTTTAACACTAAACAATTACTTGGGCAAAATTTTGCTTTACGTTGGTGTGACAGTTCAAATTGTCTCTTTCCGAGACCGATAGATTCCTTGGATTATTGCTATGCAGTTCGTAAACATAAACTTTTGCCGTTTTCTGAGAATATAGTAAAGGTAATTGCTCCTACGTTTAATGATTCGCATGACACAGTCCTATTAGAGCCGATTGATAAAAACTCTCATAGTAAATTCTCTGTGGCAAGATCAGTTAATTTAAATAATGATTCTAAGACTTTTAACGTTAAGATAGCAAATTTTACTCCACAGACTATTCATATTAACAAAAGAACTAAGTTAGCATCTATTCTTCCTGTTACTGTGTCTTCAATAGAAACTGCTTGCGTGAATAACACGACGACCATGGAGAAAGGAGAGGATTTTGAGTCGTGGGGGGGGGAGAATTTGACCTTTCTCACTTGTCACCGGATCAGCAGCAGCACCTGACTAAGCTTTTAGGCCATTACAATGACATTTTCGCTTCTTCTGTAACTCAGCTAACGGGGTGCGATACAATTCTACACAATATTAACCTTAAGGATAGTATTCCGGTTCGACAAAAGCCATACAAAGTGCCTTTTCATCTTCGCGAGGAATTAGATAGACAAATAACAGAATTATTGGATTCCAATATTATTCAAGAAAGCGATAGTCCGTATAGTGCGCCGGTTCTTTTTGTAAAGAAAGCTGATAATACTTATAGACTAGTGACGGATTTTCGGAAACTTAATGAAAAAACTGTTGAAGATTCATTTCCTCTTCCTAATATGCTCGAGCTTGTGAAGCAATTGGGTGATGCGAATTTTTTTTTCTACGTTTTACTTAACTTCGGGATTTTTCCAAATGAAGATCCACCCGGATGACGCCTTTAAAAGTGGTTTTTCGACCCCTTCCGGGCATTACGAGTGGCTTCGAACACCTTTTGGTATGTGCAATGCACCCAGTTCCTTCCAAAGGCTCATGTCTGTTGTCTTAGCCAATCTGTCCCCGTTAAAAATAGGCATATACATAGATGACATTGTGATAGCTTCGAGTACTTTTGACGAACACCTTGAAAAGCTTAAAATAGTTTTTGACAGACTCAGAAATCATAATCTTAAGTTGAAACCGTCCAAGTGTCATTTTCTCAAAAGCCAAATAACTTATCTAGGATTTAAAGTATCAAAAGGTATCTTACAACCAGATGACAGAAATTTAAAAGTGGTACAAGCATTTGTTCCTCCTCGGAATAGAAAAGAAGTTAGAAGGTTTCTCGGGCTTGTAGGTTTTTATAGAAGATTTATACCTAATTTCGCAAGGAAGGCTCTTCCGCTTACACAGCTAACAAAAGAAAAGTTGTATTTAAATGGACCAATGAAGCTCAACATTCTTCTGACACTCTTAAAAATAAACTTTTAAAGGAACCTATTTTAACTCTACCTAATTTTTCCAAACCGGTTTCGCTTTGTACGGACGCTTCCAATTTAGCCTTAGGAGCTGTTCTTTGTCAGGAGGATGATACTGGGTTCTTGCATCCAATTTGTTACGCAAGCCGGAAGTTAAAAGATCCGGAGACCAGATACAGTACAGTTGAAAGGGAAGTTTTAGCAGTAGTTTGGGCAACTGCCTTTTTTCGCCAGTACCTTTTAGGGAAAAGGTTCACAATTTATTCAGATCAAGCGTCGCTGTCCCACGTACTAAAATTGAAGGATCCCACTTCTCGGATAGCTAGGTGGATTATGGGCTTGTCCCAATTTGACTATACAATAATACATAAACCAGGGAAATTGAACGTAACAGCTGATTTCTTGTCTAGAGCAGTAAATGTAACACATCTTGTTCAAAATTCTGTCAGTCCAGACTTATTACAGACGTTCAAAGAAGAGCAGGGTTCAGATATGCAGTGTAAGCAGATTATTTCAGATATAAAAAAAAAAAAAAAAAAAAATTGACTCCTAGTCCTCGTTTTTTGAAATTTTTTATGCGTAATGGCATTTTATATTGTGAATATGCTAAGCAACGTACCCGTTGGCAAAAACTGCACAGGTTGGTTGTTCCACGATCTTTAGTTTCACGTATTCTGCAAGAGCACCACGATTCGCCGGTGGCGGCGCATTCCGGGTTCCATCGCACACTGCAACGTATTCAAAAATCCTTTTATTGGAAAGGCATGCATAGGGACATTCATAATTATGTAAAATCTTGTTATTCCTGTATCGGAAGGAGGGGTCACCGGCCTTCTCACAAGGCTTCCCTTCTGAGTCTGCCTGTGGCTTCTCGTCTGATAGAAAGAATAGCCATGGACATTGTTGGCAAATTCTCTACACAACAAAGGCAGTTTGCATCCGGATAATCGAGAGTACACCGTATAAGCGTAATAACCCAAAAGGTATGATTTTGATGCACAAATTCAACCAAAATTGAAAACCCTAGAAGAAGACGAATTTAAAATTCCGTTATATATCCAACTAGAAATCTGCAATATTTCGTCCCCAAAATTTCGAATACTTTGTCATTTAACATAGCTATACTCTCAAACAAAGTTTTCATTCATTCAAAAAATAATTTATAAACGGCTTCGCATCTTTCAAAAGTGTTGCGTCAGCAATGCTATGGACAGAAATGAAAATACTATCTTTAAGGAGGAGAACAAAATCGTTAATGGTAAAAAATGGGGAATGACTCATTCATCCATATTTAACTGCAACAGTGAAAAACTTCTGAAATTGGCTTGAAAATTCTTATTCAGATACTGATATTAAGAAATCTGATTAAAATATGTAAGATAAAATCATAAATTTAATTTGTAACAATCGTTAATCCTCCTTTTTAATTTGACTATTTTTGATTTCTATCAGAAAAAAAGCAATACGTAATTATAATTTATAATATTAATAATGTTCCTAAATTGCATCATTTCCTGAAGTAAGCCTGTTCATACGAATTTTATGTAACACGCGTGACGGTACCTGCATAGTGGCAGGAAGTCTTTTATCCAACAATAATATTAAAATCTGCAAACTTTAATAATCGAATAGATTAAAGTGGAACCATAAATTGGCGCCATAAATGAACATGATATTTAATAAATAAAGGTAACACACAAAACATTAAAAAAACTCCCCTTTAGACGTAATTTAAAATCTAAAACCTTTTAGTTTTATTATTATTATTATTATTAGTTTTAGTTTAAAAAAAATGAGGATGAACGTAAGGAAACAATAATAATTTACATCTTAATTCTGCTTTCAATTACGATAAAACTCAAAGTAACTTCCAAACCACATTGTAAATCATATATGAAGACCTATTCTATCAAGACAGTGATTCTCAACCTTTTTTTGTCGTGGCACACTTTTAACCTATTCCAAAATTTTGCGGCACACAAAGAAAAAGACAAGTTTAAAAGTTGTTTACTTACCTAAATAATACACTGTGTAAAATAGTGTATGATAATAATTTTGAATATGAAATAAAATAATATGTACTACAAAAACAGCAATACATTTATGAAGGGATTAATAATAAGAAAGTTTCGATCTTTTGTTCGTGTTTATGCTGGTTAATACTGAAAATCCGAATTCACACAAATAAGATGTAGAAAACTGTAATAATATTTTTAAAGCATTTTTGGCCATCGTGAGAAAATCACACCTGATGTTAATCCAAAATGAATTAATTGATTATTCCGAATATTTTAAAATTAAATCTCGATTATTAGAAAAGCGAAATTAGTTCTTCCGCTTCGTTCAAATTAATTCAAATACAGCAGTATTTGGCATCAAAATCGGCTTGGATACCAAAATTGGCGCGGTTCTTAAATGTCTTAAAAATCGAATTTCACCAATTCTCATGTATACCGTATGCCCATATACGTTTCCGAAATACCGTATACCCATATACGTTACGAATTAAACCCATATACATTTCCAAAATTTGGCGGCACACTTTAAGAATTTAGCGGTACACAAAAGTGCCGCGGCACGGTGGTTGAGAATCACTGTATCAAGAAACCAATTTAATTCTATATTTCTTGTTTCATTTATTAATATTTTTAATTGTTCTGTCTTGTGATCGAATTATTCGTAAGTAATTTTGAACTCGTACATAAACTGATCTTCAAACCTCAAACAGCAAAATATTTGTTAAAAATTTTCGGATTATGCGCGGAAATATAGTAAGGGTATTTTATACGGTAAATCTAGTAAGGATAAAAGTTTAATCGTTAGGCTGGTGGAACAACTGTAAGAAATATTAAAATACAAACACTGTATATGGATGTTTCTGTCATATTCGTTATGGTCAAAGTCTTGTAGAAAACCAAAAGTCCCATCATATCCATCCTAAAAGAGAAAAAAAAAAGTAAATAAATAAATAAAAGGTTTAATATGCTTATAATAATACTTAAAAAAAACAAGTATAAATAAATGTTTATTATGCCAAGGTTTCATTTGATTAGGTACACAGGTTGTCTTAAGTAATTAACTATTAAGAGAATTTAATACTTTACTTGAATTGAGGTTCAGCAACATGTGGTGTGCCGTTTACCAATTTCAAAGTCTTGATTTTCTTCACAATACGAAAGAAGTCCTTGTTCAGTTTTGACGCAGAAATGTATACATTGAAATTCTTTTCTCTTGAATATGTAAAAAAAAAAAAAAAAAAGCATAAGCTTGGAATGAGGTATATTGCAATTTCTATTTAAAGTCATTTTGAAGGGGTTATCACAGTTTTGAGACAACCAGTCATTTAAAAGGAATACACATTTACTATTCAAAACAACAACAACAACAAAAAAGATGACCTTCTCTTTCTCTCGTTTGGAAAAAGCAGTAGGTTGTCAATTTTCAATTAGTTAGGTAACAGAAACGAACTGTTATCACCTTTATCATTTTCGGATATATAACAGTTTCGCTAGTAGTCTGGTTTAAATCGCTGTTTCTTACCGTGAGACAAAAGCAAAAGACGTTTCATCAAAGTTACGCTCATTCCATAATATGTCATTGCATGATAAAAGCTTTTACCATAAAGACATACAAACAACCAGTTATTTTGTTGGATGTATTTGATTTTTTTCGCCTTTAGAGAAAAAGAAGAAAAAGACACAATTTTCTTCATTTACAATTATAACATTAGGCCCAGTGGCGTAACTAGAACTCTTGGGCCCCTATGCAAAAAACTTTTCCTGGGCCCCTTTCCCAATAAATTTAATGTGCTTAAAAATAAATAAATAAATAAAAAACGCGAAAATTAAAAAAAAAAAAAAATCAAGGATTCCAGGAGCCAATGTTTTCATGATGATTTTTTTATCACATCTGGATTAATTGTTAAAAAATAAAAGCACGTTCTTAGGGAACCAGTTGAAAGGTACGTAACGTGAAGAAAGAATAAAAAGGAAAATAATTTCCCTTGACCAACTGGTGAAATGAAAATTTGCTTTAGTCTGGGTATTTGACGTCAGACGATTTTAATTCAGTTACTTAACACTTTTGGTGTGAGTGCGAGAGACAGATTTTTCTCTCCTTTCACTGAGATGCATACTGATAATAAATGAATAAGTCTATATAACAAAAGGAACATGTCGACATATAGCCTTAAGAAAAGGAAGAAAATATGTGTACTGATTATTCGATAATGCGAATTATACAGAAACAAATTAATATATAAAATAAGTACTTTATATAAATAGTTATAATTAATTTTCCACTTCCTCCGCTTTTTGATATGGGATTGCAAAAGGAAACCTTTCCTTTAGGGGGTCGCCTTTAATAATTTTTAGGTTTGAGACTAAGGAATACAAAGAAACTTTTCCTATTTTCCGCTCACTGCTATCCCTAAACTGGGATAGGTCATGAAGTTATTATTTCGTAGTCGAATGCTAGAATTTTAACTTTTGCAAACACTTGAATCAGTTTCAGGTGCTTCCAAGGGCCTCCTATCTGCGTCATACAGAGAATTGCGTTACTGCACCATATAGGTAGGGGGCCCTTAAAATCTTAAAAGAAAACGAATTCTATTACCTACATATGCTTAAAGATTCTAAAGCTAAAAGTAAATTGGAATCAAATGAAGGCTATTCCTCAACTATATTAATATAAACAATCGTGCAAAAGGGGTTTAACACAAAATCAAAACATATTAAAATTAAAATAAGAATTTATAGTAGTACAAATTCTAAAAATAAAAATGAAAAGCAAAAGGAAAAAAAAAAAAATACAAGATAAAGAATATAAAAATAATAATTAATCTTCTTTTATTGAAATTCTAATTCTGAACTAATCAAGGGAAAATGAATTAAAGCTTCTATATATATGTAATGTAATCCGTCTTTTAAGTTCAAACATGTAAATGCAGTTCAGCAGGACATTTAAGGGCCCCTATGCTACGGCATTCCTTGCATACCCATATTTACGCCACTGATTAGGCCATCTGTGAAATAACAACTTCTGATCCAAGGGCTGTTGGGCTAATTTACCCTATTTCTATCTATCGCATGAGCATCAAGTCTGGAACTCTGAATCTTTCCGATCGTAGCATGATGACTCAAACTATCAATGCAAAATTGCACTTCGGCATCAAACGCTGACAGTGATGGCTCTTCTGCGGCAAGTAAAGTCACCTCAGAGCTTAAATTGCGCCGTAGCCCACTGGAGCTCGGGTCTAGTGCTTCTTAATTTTTGGGATAAATCATAATTCTAGCGGAAGCGCACCCGAGCCCTAAGTAAGAAGGCTACGGAACCTCTTTAACGTAACTGAGCAACAGTTTCACCCTTTTAATAATAAAATTATATTAAAAATTGATTCTATTATAATTTCTGAATGCATGCATTTCTTCCCTTGGGAAACAAACCCTTGGATGGAGGTCGAGAATTTTAAGCAAAGAAAAGACCCCATCCACATGTCGAAGGCTTATTCTCCAGAAAGTACAGTGAATTTATGACAGCGGGTAAATTTTTCGTTCCAACGCAAGTATCATCCCCCGGAAAATAGCACCTTCAGACATTTTGTAATAACGTAACTAAGGACGGGGGAGGAAAATTGTTACTTAAGACACAATAACACGCCAATAAGTACTAATTCAGAAGTCAAACAACAAAAATCAGGGTTAATTTTCAAAATTTTCACAGGACTAGTTTCGATGGTTTACCGAACCACCATCCTCAGCTGCGAAACCGCAAATGAACAAGATAGGAAATAATGATTAGATAAGATAAGAAAGCCTGGACAAGAATAAGCAAGTGGCGCCATCTGTTGGTGAAACTAGAACTAAAACATAATTTCTTTAAAGGCCAAAGGCAATGATGAATTGGAATTAGGATCGTTAACAAGAACAGAAAGATTTTTTTGAATGTGAAATGCCTCTAGAAAATCCAGTTCTCCAATGGAAGATGTTTTTTTGAATAATTTTGGCAGCAGAAAAATTGAAAGTATGAATTTCGGACCAACAATGTTGAGCAACAGAAGACTTCTGTGTTTCCTTTTTTCTAACATATGCCTCATGTTCCTTGACGCGAAATTTTAAAGCTCTCTTAGTTTCGCCAATGTAAATTAAACCACACTGGGAAAGAATCCTATAAATACCCCTGTTCCGAAGCACCGGAACAGAACAACTCAACCTGACTCTTTCGCTTCTGGAACTATGCCAAAGGACATTGAATTTAGTTGAATAGTCAGGCTCAGACAAACGCATTCGCAAGGCAGCTGCAATGCTGTTTATTTTTCACTATTTTTGTTCTTTTCTCGTATTTATAAGTTTTATATGTCATTTTCTTGTTTATACTTGTATTGTGCAGTTATTTAATATAAGTTTGTGTTTAAAACGAGGACGCGTATCTAGTTCATTCACATTACATCGCAACATAATATTTTGGAGGCACCGACGAGATTAAAGGACTTTTGATTTCGGTTTCGTCAGCACTGCATTCAGTACAGTAATGGATACTAGTGGATACGTTTAGCATCGCACTTCATTTAAAGGCCAAACAAGATAAGTAATTTTTTTCTTTTTTACAAGTTTGACTTGCACCATTACGTTCGTCAATGGAAGACAAGGTTAAGATCGCAAAAAATAATAGAGGTAGAGCGAAAGCTGCTCCTTACCAGAATTTCGAAATTTCATTAATGATGATAAGCAATTATTCGAAAAACACGAATTGATGAATAAACTTTCAAAAAATTGAAAGCGTTTATTCTGATTTTGACAAGGCAGACGCAGAACTTCCGCCGGAAAGTTCTGAAATGGAAGAATTTGAGAAAAAATATGAAACCAAAGCCAAACTACAACAAGAACTTGAAAATTAAATGTTACTATTAATATGCAAGTTACTAATGTTAATGAACGTCAAATTCCAGTTTCTAGTACTACAAATACTGCTAATAATTTTAAATTACCGAGAATAAATATGCAATCTTTTAATGGTAATTATAGAAACTGGATGTCTTTCAAGGACTTATATGTATCATTAGTGCCTAACAATGAAAATTTAAGCAACATTCAAAAATTTCAATATCTAAAGGGTTTATTAACTGATGAACCGGCTTCTATTATTAAACATATTCCCATTTCACAAAATAGTTATATGGAAGCCTGAGGAAAATTATTATCTAGGTATGATAAGAAAAAACAAATTGTCACATCACTAATAAAAACTTTCATGGAACAATCTTGTGTAATTAATGCAAATGCAATTAATTTGTGAAAAATTGCCGATACATCTGATGAGATCATCAGCAGGCTTAAAATCTATTGATCCAAAAGCTAACGAAAGGGATGTCTGGCTAACTTTTATTTTATTACAGAAGGTTGACAACGAAACATGTAGACAATGGTCTGAGTTTTCAGCAAAAGTGGAATTTCCTACTTTTGAAATGTTTATTCAATTTATAAATGATAGAATGTTCCTCTTTAGAAATTTTCCAAGCGAAAAAGAAAAGGGAAAAAAGGTCAACCTAGTGTTAAAAGATTTTCTGCTAACAAAAGTATCAAATGTATTATGCATAAATCAGATCATTTTCTTTTCAAATGCCCCAAATTTAAAGCACTAATTGTCAAAGAAAGAAATCAATTGTCAGGAAAAATAATCTTTGGGTTGATCTTTACATTATGGTAACTTGGCGTTTTTTGGCGAAAATTTGGCGACCAACTCTCCTACAGCAACCCTCTTTTTTTTCCCCGCCCCGCCATTTTGTCTTCACAAAGTAAAGACATGTTTCTTTTCTTTTATCTACCGAACACTTTCTTCCAACAATCTACTAGCCGAATTACACTTATGCTAGAAATTTTATCTAACAAAACTGCTTAATCATGACAAATATTCACTGCAAAATTGGGAAAAAGTGCACAATACCAACTCCTTACGCGTTTTTCAAAATAACACATACACATAAACCATGTACACGCCGACTATTTTTTACTTAAAAAAACCTCCCAGAATTGCACAAAAATGGCATTGCGCACACTCTTCACTATATCCATGTACATTGCTTTTTTCTCATAAATTAGAAAAATTTCACGAAAATACATGACAATTTTCTCAATCTTTAAACCCGGTATAAAGAACATATTGAAATTACCTGATCGCGAAAAAGTATTTACCCTTTCAAATATGAACATTTCCACATATAAAATAAATAAAATATCCAAAATCTTTTACCTCTAAATCATCTATTACATTCTACACGTCACCAACGAATTCATACCGCAAGCATTACAAATACTTAGTATCAAATATTTAAATTATTTCCATGCACGTTTACTTCAACTTAAACGTATACCAAATTCCTACAACATAAAATTCACAAAATAACTATCATTTAATTAAAATATCATAAACCATGTACACGTCGACGTATTTTACTTAAAAAACATCCCAGAATTGCACAAAAATGGCATTGCGCACACTCTTCACTATATCCATGTACACTGCTTTTTTCTCATAATTAGAAAAATTTCACGAAAATACATGACAATTTTCTCAATCTTAAACCCGGTAAAAAGAACATATATGAAATTACCTGATAGCGAAAAAGTATTTACCCTTTCCAAATATGAACATTTCACATATAAAAAATAAAATATCCAAAACTTTACCTCTAAATTATCTATTACATTATACACGTCACCAACGAATTCATACCGCAACCATTACAAATATTTAGTGTCAGATATTTAAATTATTTCCATGCACGTTTTACTTCAACTAAAACGTATACCAAATTCTACAAACATAAAATTCACAAAATAACTATCATTAATTAAAATATAATTAAATTCAAAAACACTACTTAAAATATAAATGAGCACATACATTAAATTAATACATACATAAATACCCATTTCGAATTCACTTTAGTTACGGCCATGGGATCCAAAAATTCACGAACACTGTTTCACACAACACAGAATAAAGCCAAATACAAAATTTTCAGATTTTTTTCCGATTTCCCCCCTTTTCCGATTAAGAACCGTAATTCGTCCATTAATATCACATGACATATCCCATGATCTCTCATTTCCCTCACACAAAAATAATGCGTAATTGGAACTGAGTACTGCTCACATTATTACCAAGTCCCAGAGAGTAACCTTTATCGCCTCCAAAATGTCGCCAAACTACCAGTTACCATATTGTAAAGATCACCAATCTTTGTTTAAATTGTTTGTCTAGTCAGCACAAAAAATCTGAATGTATGTCGAACATCGTTGTCATTATTGCCAATTATTGCATCATAGTACTCTGTGTGAAAATCAGTTTAAAAGTTATTCCACATCTGCGTCTCTTTCTGAGAGCCGTTTTCAGTCCAGAACAACAAAGAAAGGAATGCCAATCCGTGAATGAAATATCCAGACATTGCGTCTACGAAGTGAAAACAAAAATGGAACTGTAATTCAAAATAATAACGTTCAAACAACTTTTGGCTTATTGCCAACTGCATATGTAAATGTAATTGATTCGATGGGTCAAAAACGTAATATTAGAATGCTTTGTGATAATGCTTCCGAATCAACATTATTATCTGAATCTTGTATTAATTTATTGGGATTTAAAAGGAAAAATGCGCGTTTTCCTGTCAAGGGTTTAGCTGAGTCAGAAGTCGCAATTACAAAAGGTTGCGTTGAAATCGAGTTGATGTCAATCATCAGTGAGAATGCTGTTTCAAAATATTCTAAGATCTATAAATCGACATCAATAACTTTTTAAATGTAACTTTTAATATGTACAATATTTACAGATCATAGATCAAACATGGTGGTTCAGTTGACAAATAAATCTATATGCTTTCATAATCGAAAATCGAAGTCAAATAGGAACCGAAGTGTTCCTTATCAAATAGTGTGCGAACCTTCACACATCCATCTATCGAACTGCCGGTGGAGAGTCTATGGAAATTCAGAAGGCACGTCGCGTCTCGTTAACACGCAACGCTAGCGCCATCTATCAATTAATCAAAATAATTTCCACACACTCCCCACCTGAACTCTGTCAAGAGTTCACATCAATCTAACAACAATCAAATTTATAGCAATAAGTATTTTAACATATAATTATAAAACAATTGATAAGTATATTAAATGAATAGAAAATATATTCAAACTATAATCACTAAATTCTAAAAAAGGTGTGTTATCATCAAATATAATTTGACACTCGGTAAATTTAAACGATTCTTAATCTAATCATATGAAACTAAATATCAAAATAAACAATTGCATAAAAAACATATTCAATCATATTCATATTATTAACAATAAAAAAATTTTTTTAAAGTTCTAAAGGATATAATAATTGAACTGGTCGTTTTAATTATTGTTCCATCAGCAGTTTTTAGTTCACAAGAACGAACTTTGTTGTCACGACCACGAAAAACGTTTATCACTCTACCACAATTCCACAAAAGTTTGCACTTATTGTTGCCTTCAATTAATACAAGATCATCAACTTTTAGATCATCATAAACGTTAGGATTTTTTAATTGATGAGCTGTCCGAAGATCCATCAAATATTGTTTTTTCCATTTAGTCCACAATTGCCTAACCAATAAATCTTGATAAATCTTTCTTTTGGTCAGAGAGGACTTGGTAGAGCCATCTTTAACAATGGAATTAAAGTTGATAGGTAATGTAGAATCTTTGTTTCCAAAAATCAAAAAATTGACTGGCTTCAGTGGCAACGGTTCCTTGTGGTCATTGTACACATATGTCAAAGGACGAGAATTCAAAACAGCTTCCACTTGTGCTAAAACTGTTGACAATTCTTCAAACGTTAGTAAAGCTTTACCGAGAATTTTTCGTAAGCACTCTTTCACTGATTTTACTAATCTCTCGTAGAAGCCTCCCCACCAAGCCCCTCGTTCTATTATAAACTTCCAACTGATTCTTTCATTCGACAGAAAATCTTGGAATTTCTCATTCGACAATAGTTTAGAGAAATGTTCGAGTTCTTTTTTTTCCCTTTTTAAAAGTTTTTGCGTTGTCCGAATAAATTACTCGACAATTGCCTCTCCTAGATGTGAATCTTTTGAATGCCATCAAGAAAGAATCTGTAGAGAGATTCGGTACAAGTTCCAGATGTATGGCTCTAGTGATAGCGCATGTAAATAATGTTACATAGGCTTTTTGACTTCCTTCGATGTTTTTTACGTAAATCGGTCCAGCAAAATCTATGCCAGATACGTAGAATGGTGGTGTCTCATTGATTCTGTCTTCTGGAAGTTGAGAAGTGGTCTGGTCAGCAGACTTCAATGAATATCTTTTACAAATAAGACACTTGTTTATTATTTTCTTGATAAATTGACGTCCTTTTGGGATCCAAAAGCGACTTCGAATTTCAGCTAAGGTCGTTGCTACTCCTCCATGCATCATTTTAACATGTGCACTTTCTACTATCAAATTTGTTAGCCAGGAGTCTCTTGAAAGAATTGCCGGATGTTTTTCATCATGTGACAAACTAGAATGTTCTAATCTTCCACCTGCTCTCAGTATCCCGTTCTGGTCTAAAAATGGGTTAAAAAGATATAAAGCTGATTTCTTTTCGACTTTATTCGCTTTCTTCAGAGACTCAACTTCTTCGGGATAAAAACGTTCTTGTTCAGATCGAATCCAATAATTTTCGGCATCTACTATTTCTTCAGTCGTTAATGGACCTGTCAAATGGTTTGTTTTCCTAATTTTACCGATGAATCTCTTTATCCAACCAGTTATTCTCAACAATCTTCTTAAATTACTATATTTTGAGATGTCTATAAGCCTTTCTTCAACTGCCGTGCATACAAATTCATAAATATCATTAATATTTTTGCGGTATTCTAATTCTTCTTCAGTGACAGGTTTCTCTTCATTCTGTCGAGGCCACAACTCAGACGACATTCTAAGCCATTCTGGTCCTTGAAACCAGATAGGATTGTTTTTCAAATCTGGAAGTTTAGCTCCTCTCGAAGCCAAATCAGCGGGATTACATTTACCGGGGCAATAATGCCAATTTTCTGGGGATGTCAAATTTTGTATTTCCTGAATACGATTTTTAACGAAAAGCTTAAATTTCTTTGCACAGTCTTTTATCCAGAAAAGTGTGATTTTCGAATCAGTCCAGAAAAAACAAGAAAGTTGTAACTTCAAAACTTTAGTGATGCTAGTGCCTAATTTGGCTGACAAAAGAGCTCCCATTAGTTCCAACCTAGGTAAGGTGAGCGGTTTTAAAGGCGCTACTCTAGTCTTTGAAGCAACAAAAACCGTATATATTTGTTCATTGCTAGAAATTATACGTAGATACGCTACTGTACCATACGCCTTTTTGCTAGCGTCAGAAAAACAGTGCAGTTCAATCCTTTCCACATCACTATTACCGATTGCAGAAAAATAATATCGTGGAATACCGATTTCGTCCAAAATTGGAAACTTCTTTGCACCATGTTTTCCATACAGAACATAAATTTTCTGGTAGTTCATCATCCCAATCTAAAGCAAGTGTCCAAATTTGCTGCAATATGATTTTGACTCTAAGTACAAACGGTGATAATAGACCTACAGGATCAAAAATTCGTCCTATTGCTTGTAGGACAAAACGTTTAGTATTAACTTGTTTTGAGAGAAATGTTATCAAATTTTTTACATCAAAGTAAATTATGTCACTTTGGTTGTCCCAAGCGACTCCTAACACTTTCAATGGAGGATTTCCAGCTTCCGAAACATGACTAGATTCCTCGGATTCAATACCTTCTTTAATCCATAATTCGCGCAGTTCTTGAGAATTGGTGTGCCATTTATGTAGAATCATACTAGCATCTCTAAAAATGCTGAACGCATTCTAAACTGGTATTGAAAGCAAGTTCAACGTTTTGGTGTCCTCCAATGATGTCATCTACATAAATGTGATCATTTAGAAATTCGCAAGTGGCAGGGTAGGTTTTCTCATATTGTTTCAAATGGTGTTTAATGGTTGCAGCCAGTAAAAATGGACTGCTGTTTACACCAAATAACACACGTGTGAACCGATAAGTTATAAAATTTTGTGGATCATCGAATGGGTTTTTAGTAAACAGAAAACGCGTTACATCTCTGTCCTTCTCATCTACTTCTATCTGAAGAAAAGCCTGCTTTATGTCACTTGTAAATGCTACAGGATGAAGCCTGAAGGCCAACAGAAGTTCAAGAATGTCAGGATACAAATTTGGACCAATATGCAAGCAGTCATTTAACGAGATTTCACCAGGTCCATGTGAAGACGCGTCGAATACGATACGTAGTTTACTAGTAGTTCGATCACTACGAACGATTTCTCTGTGAGGCAAATAAAATGTGATTTGAGATTCACTATCAACAGTGTCTGGAACTGGTTCAATGATGTTTTGTTGTAAATAATCTTGTAGAACTGTTTGATACGAATAAAAGAGTTCAGGGTTATTCTGAAATCGCTTTACAAGTTTCTCAAATCGTTTCAGCGCAATCGCTTTATTGTCATGTAACTCATATTTTCTATCAGACTTCCATGGCAGCCTAACCTTGTAACGAGAATTTCTGTATAAAATTTCCGATTCGAATTTTTCCATTATGGTATTGTCTAATGGGTCAGATAATTCATTTTCAGGTTTTATACCTAAACTTTCAAGCTCCCAAAATTTCTTTATCTGATCAGATATTATATCTTCCTCAACTACGATATTAAAGGCTGTGGAATTGTGGTTTGTACCTTTAGTGTAACCTAGCAGAGACCAACCGAATAACGTTTCAGCAGCTACTAAATGTTTGTTTAAACGCTTAAGTTTCCCAGTTACTACATCATAATAATGATCAGCTCCTATCAAAAGAGTAATTTTTTCTTTGCAATCCCAAGAATCTGCGAGTTGTAAACCTTCTAACTGTTTGCCTAAAATGTGT